AAATTATGTGAAAAATAATGCGTTTTTCGAACCACCAAGCATGAGAGCATGTTCTAGTACACCCCCAAACCAAAATCAAGACTTTGTAAAAGAGCATAATAGGACCCCTTTAACACAATGTCTTAAAAAATATTGCGTTCATGGTCAAAGCCATTCATCTACAGCACATTTAAACAATTTAAAAAGCAGTGCAATGGAACACAAAAAAAGGGTTCAGTGTGAACCAGCCCTAAGAAATTCTTTACTGGAGTGACAGTCTAATCAGAAGTCTACTTACTGTGTGTGCCAGCTGAGCTAGGCTTGATAAACTCTGCATGAGGAGGGAAATGCATGAGGCTTTCTGGGATAGCTGTTCCTTCAGGACTACATTAATTCCCTTTTCTGCTTGAGGCTGTGTTGACACACACTGCAGGGGAAGCAAGATGATATCCGTAGCCTTCCTCTTTAAAACCTCAGGACTAAAGGATAACGTGAGAGAGAACTCTTCAGTGAATATTACAATACATAACAGACTGCTAGTTCAAATGTATGTATTTTGCAATATGTATATGTATAAAAGTCTACGGTAGTCACCATTTCTCCAGCTTAACAATTAATGCCGCACACTGAAAACACTCCTTTCTGTTTCCATCACCCAACATGGCTTCTAATAACTCCTCCACTTTATACTCTGATTGGCTGAGCAGAGGTGTCCTGTAACATTAACAATAATCATTTCCCTGCATCCTTGCCTTAATTGTTTAAATTAAATAGCAACAGTTACAAAAGCATCTCTGACAATAACATTGAGTACATATTATAGAATGTACATTGTTGTATAGTCTTCCCTTAAAACAGGAACTGAAATAAACTATAGTAATATTTCATTGCCATTTATTGGAAAAAAACAGAAAGGCCTACCATAACTCATTGGTTAAGAGAAATATCTTCATGCATTGCAATGGAAAAGATAACCTATATGCTTAAGGGTAAACAAGCTAAATTAAAAAAAAATATGGAGTCCATTTTTATTATTTATTGAATGTAGGGATATTAACAATATAACAGAGGATCAAAATTCTAGATTGGGTATTTCAATATATTTTAATGTGCATTATATTTACCCCTTAAAACTGCGGTTGTTATTGTTTGCAATGGATTATTAAATCTAACTTCCAAAGTACAGACTGTATTAACCCTTATGTTGGTTTTGTGCTTTACACTTTTTATGTAATATGAGCCCCTAGTGTTTGTATGTTTTCTTTTCTTATCTGTACATAGTAAGTATTGTTACAGACACGGTATGTACATGTGTCAGTCTTGTAAGTGTTTCAAGAAAATGTAATAAAAATAATATTACAAACTATAGTAATATTGTACTGTATAATAATTCGTAAAAGAAAAATGTAAAATGTGCCAAAAAACAAAAACATTAAAAAACATTTTATTACCACTTTAACTACAAAAATTAGAATAAACAGGATTAATTAATGTAACCTATTGAAATATGTAAGGGATAAAGTACATGTTTCATCATCATGAAACTACTTATAGTAAATAAATAAATAATTGCATTTACAAGAAATATTGATCTGAGATCAATCATAATAATTACATTAAGTTTTTTGTAATGCTTCTGAAATAAATCTTTTATGCTCACCAATTTTATCAAAAATACAGGGGGAAAAAAATATAGTGAAATATTATTACAATTTAAAACAAAGGTTTCCTATTAAAATATATTTTAAAATGTAATTTATTCCTGTGATGGCAAAGCTAAATTTATTTGCAAAATGTTATTACAATTTAAAATTTTCATTCAAATGTATTTTAAATTTGTAATTTATTCCTGGGATGGCAAACTTTTCAGCAGCCATTACTCCAATTTTCTGTGTCATAAATCATTTTTGCATTCACAGGAATAAATTTATACATTTAATAAAATATATTAAAATATTTTTTTTTTAATTGAAATTACATATTACATTTCTACTGTATTTTTAATACTTAATTATTCCACACTTTTGACTTTGTGTATGTTATTATAATGTAATTTTTTTGCTAATAAAAATATTTCAACTCCAATTAATAGATAAATAAGATCTATTCAACTCACCCCAAAGCAGCTTCTAGAACAGTTATCAGAGTCTGAATCAATGATTCAGACCCCCTGTTGACCAAGACTTCCAGGGGTACTAGCACATCTTTCCACAGCGTGCTTATGATAGGCTCTCCACACTGAGAGAGAACCAGTGACAGAAGCCGTAAGCCCTGGAGGACCTGAGGACAATCCTCTGAGCTCAACGCCTCAACCACAGCATTCATAATCTCAGAGGAGGCCGAGACCCAATCAGGCCTCAAAGATGATTCACTTGATCCCACAACATCACTGCCGCTGGTCATGTTTGATGACGTGAGGAAATTTAGGATATGCACTAAAAGCTGATTAGCCAAACAGGCAGCAAACAGACTCCTGTCGTTCTGCAGCTGGAGAATCACTTTGATGAGTCCTGTGGACACAACAGCATTCATAACAACACTTAAAGCTTGAAAAGCTCAATAATATTTTTTCATTGTTTCATCTTACACTAAATACCAGCAAAGAGGCAACTAACTAGAATAATTAGAATTAAAACAACACAACGCGTTTACTTTTGTGTGATGGCCTTTCATAAATATTAAATACAGAGCATGCATGTTTATGTACACTGTCATTCAAATGTTTGGGGTTGTTATGATTTATTTGATCAAAAATACAGAAAAACAGTGATATTGTGAATTGTGTCAAATTAAATAAAAATGTAATTTATTCCTGTGATAGCAAAGCTGAAGTTTTAGCATCACTTCATTCTTCACTGTCACATGATACAATGTTGAAAACAGTTGTGCAGATATTATTTACAGTAATAATCAATATATCATGGTACATTTTCTTTGATGAATAAAAAGTTCAAAAGAACAGCATTTATTTTAAAAATAAATCTCAATGGAAACGTCTTCACTGTCACTTTGGATTTGAATTTAATGCAATTTAAAAGTATTAATTTATTCACAACTGTTAAAAAATTGCTGCACTTCATCTGCTATCTAAATTAAAGTAGCTGCAATCACATTGCAATCTAAACCACGCATTTACTTTATTACACTTACAGGGCTATATCTCCTATTGTCTTGCCGAAGTCCATTTTTACTCACTTACATTCAAACCAAAAATTATTCAGACACCAGATATCATTTTTGGTATTTTTTTTACTAGTGGGTACAGGACACTATAGTTCATTTATGTAAGTGAGGATAGCAAAACAAAGTAAACTGTGACATATTAATCCTATTGTTATATATATATACTTCATACAGTGGACTACCAGTAAAACTGATAAAAAATCTGGGACCAAAAATTATTCAGACACTTTGACATGACAATGTTTTTTTAATTTGTGTTCGAAGATGAACGAAGGTCTTACAGGTTTGGATATTTTAATAAAAAAATCTTACAAACTATCACTTTAAGTGTTTTTCTTTAATTGCTAATGCGACCTTTTTACACCACAGACTGAACAAAATTAACCATTGCTTGGTGACTGGTTGACCTAAATTGGTTTTATCTAATTGTTTACTTAAATTTAACAGCTGACAGCTATTCAACCTAATTCATTACATACCTTTCTATGACATTATCAAGATGAATTTGTTCTGACACAGTTTAACTCTAAATTCTTGTCATATTTTATTACCATTTTCTAAACTAAATCGAATAAACTATGAGAAATGTTCAAGGTGTCTGAATAAATTTTGGTTTGACTGTATGCTTTCTGAATAATTTTGGAGCTGTTCTCACCATTTCCACATATGAAGCCCAAGGCTTGCTGGTGTTTCAGCATATCCAACAGTCCCTGCAGCCAGCCACTGCGAACCGAGGCATCCTCCCAGAGATCACACACACCCCAGGCTTCCAGCTCAAACACATACACCAAAAGACCTCCCTCCTGATCTCCATAAACAGACAACACATAAACCGGATGTTATTGGAAAATGCTGCAAACTGCAAAGTATATCATTACACTTTTTGTTGTTGTTTGTGTGTGTGTTAGAGCAGTGGTTCTCAACCAAGGCACCAGAGCCCACTAGAGGCCCTCAGCAAACCTCAATGTAAATTAATATAATCTTAAAAATGACATTACATATTTTCATATTTTTCAAGCAGAATTGTTTTTTTTTTTTAATTGGGGAGAAATTGCTATTTGCATGTATATATGTATATATATATATATATATATATATACACACACACATATATATGGACATTAATTTGAGCGAGCAACTCTGCCACTGATGTTGTAAAAATATCATGGAAAGTGTCTCACATCAAACAAGTGGAACCCCTGCGTTGTGGCAGCCAGAAGTCCAGTCAGTTTTAGGGTGAAAGACAGGATAGCAGGATCTGTCGTTTTAGACGTACAAACACTGGAAATAAACTCCAAGAGGCACGGCTGATGCTGCAAAAGCACCTGTCCATTACCTGAAGAAACACATACTAGTTACCTATAGATACACTACAAGTACACAACAATATATTACTCTACCAAAACTTCTCAACTAATCAAAAAAATATCAATTTGATCCCAAGTTACTTACTTTGGCTGTGCAGCTCTTTAAACCAATCAAGCAGCTTCTCTAAAGAGGTGTCATCAGGTGGAGACTGCTTTGGGTCGGCCAGGACCAGGCAGACCGCTGGCAGCAAAGATAAGCAGTCACTGTCCATGATATCAAAGTCCCTGGATCACCAGCACACAGTTTCTCCAAACAGGACAAGGCTGTTTACTGTAGTACTCGGTCAAATCACACTGGAAGTAGCAACAATAAAATATGTTACCTATATAAGTTACCTTGACACAACAGGGTACGTAAGTATGGAGAAATGATTCAAACGTTTGCAACTGTCTTGTATAACAAGACTTTAAAAAGCAAGTGGAAAAACATCTTCACTCTGAACGTAACTACAATAAGGAAAAAAAACACCTATTTATCACATTTAAAACAGCTTGATATAAAAGTGAGCTGCACTTACTGTACTTTCGCTCCGTACGGCGTGCAGGAAAGGACATAAAAGAAACTACATCCTGAGCGTTTATGGCGCGCAGCGTTGACGCGTCTAGCGGAGTATGCGCAAATCCGGCGCACTTTAATGTTTTTGAATAGCGTAACCGCCTCGCACTCACTCGCATGGTTACAGCACACACACTTTGAGAGTTCCTAACTGCGCAGTCAGGAGGCAGCCAGCATCAACACTATCTGACGCATTTCTACTAGTTGTGTAACTAAAAGCAAACACACTGCATCATACTCAACAATTCCAGCTTGTCAAATGCAGAATACGGTAAATATGGCGGCTGAATCGGAATTTGATGAAGAAGAGGAGCCTTCGTTCAGCGATCCAGAGGATTTTGTGGCTGACATCGATGATGAAGGTAAAGAGGCTGCAATGAAATCCGCTATGTGCGCGGCCTCAACGCAAGACATCAGATAAACTAAAACTGCTATAAAACAAATCCCTGAGCAATAATATTATGACATCTTTCTTTATTGTGTATTTCTGTGCGCTTAGAATAAAAGGACAATTTCTGATAATTTGACAGCAAGCACACAGAATATGTGTCATATGCATCCTATCATATTTTGCACATCTGTAATTTATATATATATATATATATATATATATTCATTCAGTTCTGTTTTTGCTACTTTCGGGCCTTGCAAATATTTTGCATGGTTTCCACCACAATACAGTTATTTTCATCAAAGAAATATTACATTTGAAATTGAATAAAATTCAGATTGTTTTATTAATTTGTATATTAAGACATCACGTGATAATTTTATTAACATGATACTTATAAAACCATTAAATAAATAAAACATTAGAACAAATATTTCACCTAAAATGTTCTTTACATGGAAACATTAAAATTAACTGGTTAATTAATATTATTTAAAATGACTTTTTATTAATTAGGTTACAGTTAATTGTCAGATTAGGTAACAAGTTTTAAGTTTTTTTATGGGTTTACACTTTTGAAGAAATAATAATGTTTTTATTATAATTTTATAATAGTAATTATATATTTTATTTTCTCTACTGAGGCTAAACTCTACTTACTGTACGGCAATCGTAGGATCTATTTTATAAAACATCACATTTTAAATTTGAATGGGGGTATTAAATATAATGTTTTGTATAATATGTTTTCCAGTAGCCCAATTTCTACTTGTGAGTGATTAGTTATCTGTCATTTTGTGCAGAGTTGTTGGAGGATGTTTTGAGGGAGAGACCTTTGGAGGCTGATGGGATCGATTTGGTGGTCGTGGTGGAAAACGTTCCCCAGGTGGGACCTGAACGTCTGGAGAAACTGAAAAATGTGATCCATAAAATCTTCTCCAAGTTTGGAAAAATCACTAATGAATTTTACCCTGAAGTGGCTGGGACGACAAAAGGGTAAGTTGAATTTTACATTTTTTCAGATAAAACTATTAACTATGATTGCAATGATTCAGATTTTTTTTATAGACCATGATTTGGTGATAAATGTGAAATGTTCTCAGGTATATCTTTCTGGAGTACGCCTCCCCAAACCAGGCTCTGGAAGCTGTTAAGAATGCAGATGGTTACAAGCTGGACAAACAGCACACATTCAGAGTCAATCTGTTCACCGATTTTGATAAGTATGTTTTCAGAGGGTTTCATATGTTTGGAAGATTATAACTGGTTATGAATGGCTTATGACTGTTTTTCGCAAGCTGAAAAAAATACAGCTTTCTGTTACTATACAAATATTGAGGTTCACTAGTGATTCAGATCTTACGGAGCATTTATCTGTGTGTTTTTCAGGTACATGAATATCAGTGACCAGTGGGAAACCCCTGAAAAACAGCCATTTAAAGACTTTGTACATACTTCTGCTTTTGTTATCTGGAAAAAAAAAATCAAGCTTAGCTTTAAAGATTTAAAGATCTGTGCCTGCATTGTCTTTATACTTAAAAACTTGGTATTGTAAAGCGCCAGGAATGAGACATTTCAAGATTATTGGACTATGGGTGTGCGAGTTTGGCTTTTTCTTTTTTTTTTTTTTTTTTTTTTTTTTCTTTTTTGTTATGTTTTTAGCCAATGACAATGGCATTACATCATTTTCTGTCACTGTTTACCAGGGCAACATGAGGCACTGGCTTGAGGATCCAGACTGTCGTGATCAATACAGTGTAATCTATGAATCAGGAGAGCAAACTGCCATATTTTCCAATGACCCGAAGGAGCCAATCCTGGTTGAAGAGAGAGCTGTGAGCACATTTCCTTTAAAACAAACTTCTTTCAGGGTTATTTTAGTATTATTTATTTACTATTAAATAATGAATATAAGTTATTATATTAGTTATTTTAGATTGCTTTAGTGTTAGTATTATTAGTATTATTTATATGCTAAATATTATTAATATTTAGAATTTGAATGTTTGTCATTTTAGTTAGTTTTAATAATTTTTTTCTTTTTTATGTATTTTTTATTTTGATTTTATTTAATGTTTTTATTTCAGTTTTAGTTTTAGTAGTTTTAGCACTTAAATTATTTTTGTTTAAGCAACATTTCTAACTTTTGTTTTTTTTAAGTTACATTTTTTCTTATCTAATATTTATTTAATTTTGGTTTATTTAAATGAACAAACATTTAATAAACAATAACAAAACTGATTTGCTTTAAACTTGTAAGTGTTCAAAACCCAGTTTTTTTGAAAGGATAAAGATTTGATATTTGCTCTAGAGGTTTTCATCTAGACATCGATTGGTGGAATAGTAATGTTCAAATTGCTCATCAACAGTGTTTCATTTACAGTATTAATTGCAAGCCTAGTGATCAAAAGTGTTACATTTTTTGATGTCTACACTTAATTTTGACTACTTTGTCATGTCATTCTACCAAGCAAATAAATGCGGTATAATCCTTACATTATTAGTGCTGGACAGAGACTTACGTCCGCTGGTCACCCAAAGGGACATATCTGGCCACCTTTCACCAGCGGGGAATTGCATTGTGGGGTGGAGAGAAGTTCAAGCAGATACAGAGATTCAGCCACCAGGGTGTCTCTCTCATTGACTTCTCCCCATGCGAGAGGTAAACACCTGAGAAAGAGAGCGAGAGCAGCTATTACAGAGTTACAAATGTGAATAACACTAAAAATGTTCGTCAGGTATGTGGTGACTTTCAGCCCACTGATGGACACTAAAGAGGACCCTCAGGCCATCATTATCTGGGACATCCTGACCGGACAGAAAAAACGTGGCTTCCATTGTGAGAGTTCAGCACACTGGCCTATTTTTAAGTGAGTGTTTTAATTAGCCTTTGTTTGTTCATGTTTATGTACCTTTCACTCAGATAATAAGAATTTCTAAATTGGTTCTCTCACAGGTGGAGTCAAGATGGAAAGTTCTTTGCCAGAATGACACAAGACACTCTGAGCATCTATGAAACCCCAGTAAGGCGTTATCTTTAATTAATATGTAGTTGTTGCATTTACTCTTGTCATTTTTATTAATACCTTTGTTCATTTCTTCCAGTCAATGGGCCTGCTAGATAAGAAGAGTTTGAAAATAAGTGGAATAAAGTAAGTCTTAACAAACATCTGCAGTATTGTAGAATGGCATAATTCATCCCAGATTTATTTTATTTATTTTTTATTTTTATAAGAGTTATTTCTTATGTGTGTGTGTGTGTGTGTGTTAAACATTTAGTAAATTTACTGTTTTAATTAAATATGTCTGTATAGTTTTTGTATTTATTTTTGTTTCAGTTGTTGTTATTTTGGAAATCGAACCTAATGAAGAAGAAAAATGTTGGCACTAGCTGAAATAAATTAGTTTTTTATATTTTATTTTAGTTAATTTATTTTTTAAGCAACAATTTTTATGATTTACTATAAAAACCCTTATGAACTATAATAACCCTGACCCCCCCCCATACTGATTTCATTCTGCACAGAATAATGACTATAAGAGCAACAGAATAACTATAAGAGTAACTTTGAATCATTAAAAATGATCTATCTGAGTGCTATCAGGGAGTCGGGTTATTGTAAAGTGCAACCCAAAATTTTTTAATTTTTTTCCTGTTCGACAGAGATTTTTCTTGGTCCCCGGGAGACAACATCATTACTTTTTGGGTCCCAGAAGACAAGGACATTCCAGCCAGGGTAACGCTCATGCAGTTCCCGTCCCGTTTAGAGATTCGGGTGCGGAATCTTTTCAACGTGGTGGACTGCAAGCTTCACTGGCAACGGCAGGGTGACTACTTGTGTGTGAAGGTGGACCGAACACCCAGAGGAACACAGGTGTGTGTGTGTGTGTGTGTGTGTGTGTGTTTGTTTGTAGAAAGTCTTTATAGGACTTAATCACTTGTTTTCATATTTCCACTATTTGTTTTCTGTTCTTCAATAGGGTGTCGTCACAAACTTTGAGATTTTCCGCATGAGAGAGAAACAGGTTCCTGTTGATGTGGTAGAGATGAAAGGTAACCAAGACCTTAAATTTTCTTAAAGGCCTTAAAGAGCATTTAATAGTGTATTGGACTAAATGTAACATCTGATCTTTATAAGAGAGCATCATTGCATTTGCCTGGGAACCCAACGGCAGTAAGTTTGCAGTACTACATGGAGAATCACCCAGAATAAATGCCTCATTTTACCACGTCAAAAGCAACGGCAAGATTGATCTCATCAGTAAGTGCCAATCTTTTTTTCACTTAAATTGAAGTTTTTATAGATGAAATCTATGTTAGTATATTTAATACTATGTAAATCTATGTTAGTAATATTATCCTAATGAATTTGGTATTCAAAAAAAAATAATTCTTGTGAATATTCTGTGGTTTTCCAGAGATGTTTGATAAGCAGCAGGCCAACAGTATCTTTTGGAGTCCTCAAGGTCAGTTTATGGTACTGGCAGGACTGCGGAGGTTAGTTAATATATTATATTATATTTATTATACTATATTTAAATTGCAAATACCATTCAAAAGTTGGTGTTATGTAAGATTGTTTTGTTTTTGAGGTAAGATGTCTCTTACGCTCATCAAGGCTGTATTTATTTGATCAAAAATACAGTAAAAACAATAATATTGTGAATTATTATTACAGTTTAAAAGAACTATTTTCTATATTAATATAACTTAAAGTGTAATTTATTCCTGTGATGGCAACGCTGAATTTTAGCATCGTTACTCCTGTCTTCAGTGTCACATGATCCTTCAGAAATCATAATATGCTGATTTGGTGCACAGAATTCCTTATTATTTATTTCCTTATTACTGTTTGAAAGGTTTTTTTTTTAATCTTTATTGCTTGGCTCATACTGGTGATATTTCTCTTTTTCTGTGCAGTATGAATGGAGCTCTTGCATTTGTGGACACATCGGATTGTACCATTATGTATATCGCGGAGCATTACATGGCCTCTGATGTGGAATGGGACCCTACAGGCAGATATGTGGTGACTTCTGTTTCCTGGTGGAGCCACAAGGTAATATAACATGTTCAGTTCCTTAAGTTACTTTATGCTTTAAATTTTTTAAATTTAAATTTTTTTTATTTGCTGTGCGTACATTTATGTACTCTGTATATAGGTGGACAATGCATACTGGCTTTGGACGTTCCAAGGACGTCTTCTGCAAAAGAACAACAAAGACAGATTCTGCCAGTTGCTATGGAGACCATGCCCTCCTACATTACTCAGTCAAGAGCAAATAAAGGTGATGGCCTTTACTACTGTTTACATTTGTAACCTCTACACACTATTTTGCAAGATAAGAGCCTCACCCATAAAAATTTTAACATGGAGGTTTTCCTTATTTTAACAGGCAATTAAGAAGGACCTCAAGAAGTACTCAAAAATCTTTGAGCAAAAGGACAGACTGAGCCAGTCTAAGGCTTCTAAGGTCAGTTGTTTTTTCGATCGTAATTCGTAATGACTGAGTGAAGGTGTTTAGCAGGATATTCTTTAATAATTCTTTTTAAAAAGTTTTAATGAGATATAAAAATCAATTCAACAGAAATATCTTCAATAGAAAATGTAACTAATTACATTGACATGTTTGTCTTTTTAATTTTAATTAATTCATTATCCATCCATTGTTTACTTATTATTTATTTATCATTATTATTCATTTATTTTAAATGTATGTGCATTTATTTATTATAAATGTATTTTCCTAAAAATATACATTGTTTAATTGGCTTTGATTCATTTGCTCTGTATTTAAATACATTTACTATATATTAACAAATAGCCATCTTCAAGAAACGGCAAAAAACAGATCTCTTTCATTTACACTTGACCCTCTAACACTAGCACTCTCTATTCTATTTCTTTGTTATTTACTTGTTTTCTTTTTATTTAAAACAATCTGACCCTCTAACACTAGCGTTCTCTATTTTTTTTCTATTCCATCTACTTATTTTCTTTTTATTTATTATAAAAATGACCCTCTAAAAGTAGCGTTCTCTATTCTTTTTCTATTCTTTCAACTTGCTTTCTATTTATTGTAAAAAAAAAAAAAAGTCTTGCTATGTGTACTGCGTTAGACTGACCAAGCATTTTCGTATTATTTACATTAATAATGTTAACAATGTTTAATGTTACAATGTTTCCGTAATGCTCTTGATGCAGGAGTTAGTGGATAAACGTCGTTTGATGATGGAAGAATACAGGCGGTACAAAGACAGTGCCATTCAGCTTTACAACCAACAGAGGGAGCTGCGCCTTCAGCTCAGAGGAGGTGAGAAACACTCCTTTTTTTAACATTTTTCCCCTTTTTCCCCTTATTCTTTTTCTATCATCATCCTCACACTCTACTAACATGTATTTCCATCAGTTATATTATTACAAAGACAGTGCCATTCAGCTTTACAACCAACAGAGGGAGCTGCGCCTTCAGCTCAGAGGAGGTGAGAAACACTCCTTTTTTTAACATTTTTCCCCTTATTCTTTTTCTATCATCCTCACACTCTACTAACATGTATTTCCATCAGTTATATTATTGAATTATTATCTCTCAGGTGTGGACACAGATGAACTGGACAGTAATGTGGAGGACTGGGAAGAGGAAACCATCGAGTTCTTTATCAGTGAAGAGATCATTAATCTTGGAGACCTGGAGTAGACGTACACGGAAAGCACTGTTGTTCCCTTTCAGTCGGTCACTTTCGACGTCACATCGGTAACCGACGAATTGGTAATCTCGCCAGAGAGACCAATCCACTTTGAGTGTAACTAAACGAGCCAATGGGCATTGGCATGTGAGATTTGCATCTGGCTGCCACACCAAGCAAACGTGGTTATAAGAGGCAGCAGGTGCATCTCATTCATTCATCTTTTCGCTTCGGAGCCGAGCAGTGGTGCATCACTACTGCTCTCCTTCCTCTCGCGTGATTGCAGCGAGTGCAGATATTATGTCTGTCAGCAGCGGTGGTCACTGTCTCACAGGAAAGAAGATTAAGATCCTCCGTGTAGACAGCCACACCAAGAGTGTGCGGTGGCCAGCTCCCCTGCGTGCTTCAGCACTAAAAGAGCAATCTCTAAAAGAGCAACACAGGTGATCGCATCTTTTTAAAGATGTCTTATCACCAGTGCGTTTCTGGATGTGTTCGTTACCTGGCGCCTCAGGACGGTCACGATCGTTGCCTCACGTGTCTGGGCATTAACCATGCTGAGGAAGCTTTTGTGGATGGTGCATGTTCTCTTTGTGGGGCCATGCCCATCTTGGAGTTGCATAAAAGACTCCGTTACGTCAAACAGGATGGAGTTCCTCTGCCTCTGCCGTGATCTAGCGTTCCTCCCGGCACTCGGGGCATCGCTACTTCCGGTGGTATCAGAGGTGATTTGAGGATCACGGTGAGGGCTTCTCCATAGGAAGTTCCTCACCCCTCAAGCACTCCGCAACCGGCGGGGCTGCCGGAGGAACACGCTGGTCTTTCTGCTGGACAGGGTGTACCACCCATATCCTTCGGTGCCCCCCCTGACGACCAGATGTCAATCGCTGCATCGGAGGGCGAAGTCCCAAAGCCTTGAGGGACCTACACGGGGGTGGTCCTGACCTGGTGGTTCTACATGAACTGTGTACTGCTATGGACCTCGCACTTGTTACATCTCGGGTCTTTTGAACTATGTGTATGTATTTCTGAGTGTGTCTGTGCAGGAAAAGGCGTGGCCTGTACTCAAGCCAGCAGAGATCCTGATTGGTCTGCTCCTGATTGGTCCTGTCCTGGTTCCAGTGAAAAGGACCTCCCCAAACACTCTAGGAGGCCGAATGCGTGCCATTTGTTTTGCTTTGTCTTGGGGTTCCTTTGTGATTGTGGGTACTGTGAAAAACTTGCTCTTGTTTTAGTTGATTTCCAATTGTATTTGTAAATATTTAGTTTAAGGGAAGTAGGGAGTGTGACGCCATTTCTTTTATATTGTTTGTTCTATGTTTTGGGTTAAGGGAGTTAGGGAAGTTGTGTTGTATTTCTTTTTCTTTCCTATGTTTTATTTTGGTTAGAGAATTTAAAGGGTATACTAAAATTAGTTAATTTTTGTTATTTTGGCCTTGTCCACTCCTGAATTTGTTCCCTTTGTTACTCATTTTCATTATAAGTTTGTTAATAAATCTATGTTTTTGTTTGATAATATCTTGGGAGCAATTCCTGAATGCTCCCGTGTCACAGACCGGCCTTTTCAGCGACGCGGTCGAGAGCTGTGCCCAGCAGTTCTCGGTGGCACAGAAGCAGACTGAGACGATTAAGCACATCATGCGCCAGAGGAAACCTGCTGCTTCCAGTCCGGCTGCAGCCCCTCAGCCTGCTCGTCACCGAGGGCGCCCCCCTGCATCCACCCCGCTCCCACGCAGCAGCAGCAGCCTTCCACCAAGCAGCGTCGTGGAGCCAGTCGCAGGCAGGGCACCCGGCCCGTCCAGGCCCCTGCCAAACCTGGCGGCAAGCGCAAGTGCAGAAGGCCCTGAGACGGGCGACCCAGAGATGGAGGGCACTGCTCATTGGGAGATGGTGACCGCACCACTCCCTCCCCCGGAGGAGGGCCGGGTGGAGAATGTTTTGTTTTGTTTTGTTTTGTTTTGTTGTGTACCCAAAAATGTTGACGCAGAAATGCATTTTCGAGTGCATCCGTCCCCAAGACTGGTTTGCAGCAATCGACCTGAAGGACACATACTTTCATGTCTTTATCCTCCCGTGACACAGGCCATTCCTGTGTTTCACCTTCGAAGGTCGGGCATATCAGTACAAGGTCCTGCCCTTCGGGCTGTCCCTGTCGCCCCGTGTCTTCACCAAAGTTGCGGAGGTGGCCCTTGTTCCCTTGAGAGAACAGGGTGTTTGCATCCTCAACTGTCTCGACGACTGGCTCATAGTTGCACAGTCTCGCGATCAGTTGTGCATACACAGGGACTTGATGCTCAGACACCTCAGCCAGTTGGGTCTTCAGGTCAACTGGGAAAAGAGCAAACTCATGCCAATGCAGAGGATCTCTTTTCTCGGAATGGAGCTGGATTCGGTCAGCCAGACAGCACGCCTCACCTGGGAACTCAGTCAGTGCTGAACTGCCTCAAGACATTATCAGGCAGGACAGCGGTCCCACTGAAATTGTTTCAGAGGTTCCTGGGGCATATGGCTGCAGCCGCTGCGGTAGTTCCGTTCGGTCTGCTCCATATGAGACCGTTTCAGCACTGGCTCCATGGCCGAGTGCCGAGGTGGGCGTGGCTACGCAGCACTCGTGGGGTTCAGATTACACCTGCCTGTCACAGAACCTTCAGCCCGTGGTTGGATCCTTCATTCCTTCGGGCAGGAGTGCCCCTGGAACAGGTATCCAGGCATGCTGTGGTGTTCACAGATGCTTCGACCACCGGCTGGGCTGGTCTGGACGGGTCCCCAACTGCATTGGCATATCAATTGCCTCGAGTTCCTGGCAGTGCGCCTTGCCCTGAGCCATCTCAGAAGGTGCCTTCGGGGCAAGGACGTACTGGTCCGCTCGGACAATACTGTGACCATTGCATATATCAACCGGTAAGGCGGTTTATGCTCCCATCGCATAGGTCCCTTCGTGCCATCCATATCCCAGAAGTGTTCAATCGGGCAGCCGACGAGCTGTCATGAGCAGCACTCCCACGGGAGTGGAGCCACCCCCAGGCGGTTCAGCTGATTTGGAGATGGTTCGAAGGTCCTCAGGTAGACCTGTTTTCATCTCCAGAAACCACCCACTGCCAGTTGTTCTACTCCTTAACTGAGGCAACGCTTGGCATGGATGTACTGGCACACAGCTGGCCCCGGGGCCTGCGCAAATATGTGTTCCCCCCAGTGAGCCTACTTGCACAGACACTGCGCAAGATCAGGGAGGACGAGGAGCAGGTCTTGTTAGTGGCTCCATATTGGCCCAACAGGACCTGGTTCCCAGAACTCATGCTCCTCGCGACAGCCACGCCCTGGCCGATTCCTCTGAGGAAGGATCTGCTTTCTCAGAGACGGGGCACCCTATGGCACCCGTGTCCAGACCTGTGGAAACTCCATGTATGGTCCCTGGACGGGATGCGGAGGTTCTAGGTGACCTAGCCCAGGAGGTTCAGCACTAGCACTTTCGTTTCAGCACGAGCACCGTCCATGAGATGGGCCTATGCTTTGAAGTGGAACCTGTTTGTTGAATGGTGTTCTTCTCACCAAGAGGGCCCCCCGAAATGTTCGATCAGAGCCATGCTTTCCTTTTTGCAGCAAGGGTTGGAGAGTAGGCTGTCCCTCTCCACCCTTAATGTTTACACCGCTGCAATCTCCGTATACCACGACCCCATAGAGGGTAGGTCGGTGGAGAAGCACGACTTGGTCGTCAGGTTCCTTAGGGGGGCCAGAAGGTTAAATCCTCCTAGGCTGCCAGGAACAGCTGTAGTCGACCTTCTCTGTGTAGAGCCCGGTCCTATCGTCTGCCTTATAGGAAGGATCAGGAGGCTTACACAGGGCACTGGAGGGGGCAACATCTGTGGCGTGTAGGTAGGGATTCCCAATTCGTCAGTCACCGACGTGATTTCAAGAGTGACCGACTGAAAGGGAATGTCTTGGTTACATTTCTTCTTGCAGCTTGGGTTGGAGCGAGGGCTGTCCCCCTCCACCCTTAAGGTTTACGTTGCTGCTATCTCCGCACACCACGACCCCATAGAGGGGAGGTCGGTGGGGAAGCACGACCTGGTCGTCAGGTTCCTTAGGGGGGCCAGAAGGTTAAATCCTCCTAGGCCCCCCTCCTTACCCTCTTGGGATTCAGCATTGGTGCTAAGAGCCCTACAAACTGCTCCCTTCGAGCCTTTGGAGTCAGTCGAGTTGAAGTTTCTTTCCATGAAAACCCTACTCCTGGCTGCATTGGCCTCGATCAAGAGGGTAGGGGACCTGCAGGCGTTTTTGGTCGACAAATCGTGCCTTGAGTTTGGGCCGGCTGACTTCAGTGCAACACTGAGAAGTGCAACACTGAGACCCCGGCCCGGCTACGTGTCCAAGGTTCCTACCACTCCCTTCAGGGACCAGGTGGTGAACCTGCAAGCGCTGCCCCTGGAACAGGCAGACCCAGCCCTAGCTTTGCTCTGTCCTGTACGCACACTGCGACAGTACGTTGGTAGAACTCAAAGCTTCAGGACCTCAAAGCAGCTCTTTGTCTGTTATGGAGGACAGCAGAAACTCCACTAGGGATGTCGCATCATCCTGGGCGCTGGCTCGTGGTGCCTCGCTAACAGATATTTGTAGAGCTGCCAGCTGGGTGACTCCTAACACGTTCGCTAGATTCTATAGCATATGTGTCGAGCCGTTTTACTCCTGTGTTCTCACCTCAAACGGGTAGTGGCACTGAAAGGCCCGGTTCAGAGTCGGCTTGTAACAGCAGCAGTCGACCTTCTCTGTGTAGAGCCCGGTCCTATCGTCTGCCTTATAGGAAGGATCAGGAGGCTTACACAGGGCACTGGAGGGGGCAACATCTGTGGCGTGTAGGTAGGGATTCCCAATTCGTCAGTCACCGACGTGATTTCAAGAGTGACCGACTGAAAGGGAATGTCTTGGTTACATTTGTAACCCTCGTTCCCTGAAGGAGGGAACGGAGACATCACATCCCGTCACCACAGTTGCTGTACCACTGCTGAGCTGCCGGGTCACCGGCTCGGCTCCTCCGCAAAAA